AGGAGGACGAGACAGTGCGTCAGCTACGACATTGAGATGCCCTGCCCGATGTTCCAGCTTGAACACGAACTGACCAAAAAACTCAAGCCAGCGTGTCAATCGCGGCGATAAATCTGGGTGCGTTAGGAACCACCGACAAGCAGAATTATCGGTGAAGACAACGAATTCCCTCCCCAGTAGATACACGCGCCACTTTCCCATGCACAGTTTGATCGCGAATAATTCTTGTTCGTGCGTTGGCCATTTCTGCTCATTTGGATTCAGCTTTTTGCTGAAGTATGCCACGGGATGGTCAACGCCCCTGTGTTCCTGACTGAGCACGCCCCCCACCGCCAGTTTAGACGCATCTGTGGTCACACGAAATGATTTAGACGGGTCCGGAAGACGTAATATCGGCGCCGAAAGAAGATGGCCCTTGACGGCATGGACAGCGCGGCTGTGGGCGTTGGTCCATATCCAGGCTACGTCCTGCTTTAGCAAATCCGAGAGAGGAGCCACGAGATCCGCGAAGCGCGGCACAAAACGGCGATAATAGCCGGCTAGGCCAAGAAAGCGCTGTAGATCTCGGGCGTTTTGCGGTAACGGCCAGTTGGCAATTGCGGACGTCTTGTCTGGATCAACTGAAAGTCCATTCCCGCTGATGACATGGCCGAGGAAGGTTACGGAGTCACGAGAAAAGTGACACTTTGAGCTCTTGACGAATAACTTCTCCTGGCGTAACACAGTAAACACTCGTCGAAGGTGTTCAGCATGCTCTTTCACGGAGCGTGAAAAGACACAAATGTCATCTAAGTAAACCACAACAAACGGTGGAAACTCAGAACCACCAAACAGAGCGTTCATCAGTCTGGTCCAGGTACCGGGCATGCCGGCGAGGCCTATCGGCGCCACGAGCCACTGGTATATTTCTCCGTTTGCCCGAAATGCCGTGTACATACGCGAGCGTTTCGAAAGGCGCATCTGGTGATACCCACTTAGCAAATCCAGGGTAGAGAAGACAACAGCTCCAACCATTCTCGCGAAAAGTTCATCAATATAGGGCAGAGGAATGCGGGGAATCACCGATTTGCTATTTACGTAGCGATAGTCAATTACTCATCGCAGCAACTTGGCAATATCGGTCACGTGCACCCAGTCAATGCGTTTAGGAATAAGGCCAGTGGTAGGATCCTTCTTTGGGACGGCAAAAATGTTCGATACTCACGGCGAAAACGACTTCTCGATCCACTTCTTGTCAAGAAGTTTCTGCACAAAATCACGAAGTGCGGAGCGCTCTACGTCTGAATGGCGGAATGGCGCTCGGGAACTGGGCTGTGCACCAGGCTGCATTATCACATCGTGCTCAATTGGGCGGACAGGAGGGAGCCCATCGGGTAGTTCTTCCGGCATAGTGTCGGCGAATTCGACCAATACGCGCTGGATAATTTCCGGTAATTCTTTTGAGAGAACGGCCGCACTTGTATCCA